GATGTTAAATCGGGGTTTGAATGAGTCATAAACATACCTGAGAATTCCGCCATTTGCACACGCGTCTTCTGCCCACGGCGACCAGAATAAAGACAAAAAACTCTCTTTTGCGGCCAATCTTTATGATAAAAATTATCGCCAACGATAAAAAAACACTTCTTTCAACTTTATACGGAATATCGGGTCAAACCAGACAGAACAAAGGTTAAAAACAGTCAGTATAGTCTTGGTATCGCYAAGCTTCGCCACTCAAAGTCTTATTGTTGTCAAGGAATGCGTGGTTAGCTTGCCCACCACGGGCTTGTTGCTATGGGGCAAATTGACACGTGATCAATTGCTGCAAATGGCCTATTACAGTATCTGGAGACAAAATGATAAAAATGTTCTACATGTTTAATAATTCTGGTTCCTGTATTCACATCAAACATGTACATGCATCAATTGAGAAAGAGAGCTGCCCGGAATTCGTGACAGACATGTTTGGTGAAATGCTGGACAAAGAGGGAAATTCGGAGTCCAGCTTTCTGCCAAAATGTCTGTCATAGAGCTCTATTCCATTTGCTGCTTCTCCTGCCTTCTCTCCTTATGTCCTTGGAGGTGTAACTACCAAAGATAGTATACTAAACTTTAAGGCCAGTGAAGAAATAAATGTTTGCCCTTTTTGCCAGAATGGACTAGTCAGCACTGATGGCAGCAGTAAAGAGGTTACTCTTTATACCCAGTACAACCAACTGAAAGTGATTGGTAACATTTTGCTTTTACTTTAAAATAATTTCTAAATTGAAGCAGGTTGTTTTAATTAGAAACTAAATAGCTCTTATTAACCAAGTGTGAGGTCCGTACTTTCTTAATATGTTGACAACGCTTTTGTGAAAACTTATACGTTCTTATATCGTGAGGGACCGAAATGTATCTCACTATTTTAACGACTTCGTCGTTACAAGAATGTAAGTTTGCTGTAACGGATGTGAAGGTGCGGTAATACGAGCTACAAAAACGTGCAACTTCACGTGCGACATAGTTGCGTTGGAAGTTGCAGAGCGAACGTTGCTCGTATCACAACTCCACGATCAACAAGTTTTCTTTGTTTCAGAGAGTAAAACTTCAACTCAGTCTATGTACAGCTGCTTCCCACCAAGAAGCATATAGTTGCTGGTATTACCGCACTTAAGTATTATTGTCGGGCGAGCGACCAGCAATTGACGCGATATTTCAATTCACTGTACTGTTCAGGCATTGCCAAAACAAACATTCCCCACTCGCAGTTAACAGTAAGACTTGCTCTATTGCATTCTAMTATTTGTATAACATTAGGAAAATACGAAAATACTATAAAACAAGGGAGTACAAGAGAGTTGCAGAGTGTATGATATTTGTGCGAGGCGTAGTGAGCCTGGCATGTGTGATTCAACAGGGTCATTAATGCATTTGAGAAGAACTACCAACCAACGTATGAAATATTTGATCCACGGATATCATAATTTTTTTAGGTTATTGAATTTCGATTTATAATTAAAATGCTGTACCGGATCATTTTTCAAACATAAGCTGAAACAGCCTGTAAGTAACGATAATGACTTTATTTTCTCGAAATTCATCAAAATGATTTTTTTACAGCGCATAAATCCTGCACCACCGTTATCGCTAAATTTGYATTCATTATCAATTGAAAATTAAGTCGTCACCACTCGCAAAACATAAAACGCTGGAACAAACTATTATTTTTCCTGACTTTTACATTCATTCTAATGTCAAAAATGTGTTTAAATGCGGTTAAATAAAATATTTAAGCAAAGTTAGACTTGAACTATTTTGCCTGTTATCGCAAGTATCTGTCATCAAGAGGCTATAGTTTCACGGCCATCTGATAAGCAAACTAAAAAAAAGTCTCACGCAATGAGATGAATGATGAACAGGTGGTATCTGGGGACGAGGCTGCATCGGGTGCTATCCAATTTTGCTAACGCCACATGCTATCCGATCTCATTTCGCTAACGCTAGCTTACGCAGTTTGTACGCTACACCAATGCTATTTGTTTTCCCACCCACCCTCCATTAAGGTAAGTAGTACAGGTAAGTATTCCACTGCCAAGTCAGTGTGACGGGGCTAGGTGGGAGGTGACAGGGTTGCCATAGTAACCGCTGACCTCCACCGAGTTATCGAGGCTCCTCCCACCCAAGCACCAACGCCAAGCTCATCTACGTGTGATGAGTTTCACAAAAGGGAAAAAAGGAGAAAAATAAGTATTCATACCCATTGGACGGCTTTATGAAATAGAAACAAACAAACCCTCACTAAAGAGCTTTTTTTCTCCCAAGTCCACACGGATTACTTAATTTTTTTTTACTTGAATCTACTGATCGAAGGTTGATAAAAATGGATTCGTTAAAACATTTTGTGCTTTTTATCTATCTTCTTCTCAGCAACCTCGTATTTTTACCAAAATGTCTCATGAGATGTGCAAATTAAGTACTGAAATAAAATATGACTTACCATTAATACTTGCTTTTTTTACTATATCCAGTGTTAGTACACTAAATATGATCTTATTTTCCATCTTAAACAGTCAGCCTTTAAATTCGCGTGTCAACAGGCGCTTCCTCATTATCTACCTCAAGGAGGGGGTTCATTAGCGGATATAAGCGTGTATAGACCTTATCAAACAGGAGGACGTCAGCGCGGAGGAAAGAGGAAAAATAGGTTGAGAAAAGTTCTTCGCCCAGCATTGTGGTAAAATGGATATTTCTCAATTACCTTCAGTTCAAGAATGTTTGTCCAAGTTTCAGAAATCACATGAAAAAATTCAAGCAGGTAAACCTTCAAGAGGTTCCTGTTTAGATCATCTTGCATAAATTCAGCAATTACACACCGAAGGACATCCTGTGAACATCAATGAATTGTTAGCAGAACAGCGGAGAAGTCAGAAACAAAAAAATGATTATTATAGGAAGTCAGATTTTGTATAACTATTGGTGGCTCATAAAGAATCTGGTCCCCTAGGGGGGAGGGGGCCCTGCATGATTTTCGGGGTTTTTTTGTACTTTTCCAATTCAAACCCAGTTTAAAACCCGTTTTATCCGGATTAAAACCAGTTCATTCAGGTCGTTTTGGCGCCCATAAAGCGAGCAACCTTCAACGGTTTCGCTACTTTGCACGCCAAAGCCCAAAAAGAAGTGACAAGCTCAAGAGGATCAGCAGCAGCAGCAGCGAAGAAAAAGATCGAAGATACAAAAGATGGCTGAGAACAACAACGAAATTGTACCAGAAACTCCAGTTGCTGAAGAAGAAGAASAACAACAACAATCTGCCTCTGTGGTCTCTGAAGCTACGCAGGTACATACAAGCCATGAAAAGTTTTTGACAGACCTGCAACGCTTTATTGAAACGACCTACACAGTAGCTGCTGTTGGAAAAGACTATATAGATTTTCCTGTATCACACCGCTGTTCAAAATGCCTCAAATTTGCTGGGGGAATTCTTTACCGTACTTTTTGCTGTAAAAGAATGCTTCACTTTTATCCTTGCTTCTGGGAATGGAAAGAAAAATACAAAACCTGCGCYGCCTGTTTAAAAATCGTGGAGGAAGATAACATATATCCGATTTTTAAGATTCAACATGATGGTTTAAGAAAACATCTTTATGGTGAAGATAACTATTTTGCTGGATTTGTGCCTGACCACGATCAGTTCAAGAATGTTTGTCCAAGTTTCAGAAATCACATGAAAAAATTCAAGCAGGTTTACCTTCAAGAGGTTCCTGTTTAGATCATCTTGCATATATTCAGCGATTACGCGCCGAAGGACATCATGTGAACATTAATGAATTGTTAGCAGAACAGCAGAGAAGTCAGAAACAAAAAAATGATTATTATAGGAAGTCAGATTTTGTATAACTATTGGTGGCTCGTAAAGAATCTGGTCCCCTGCATGATTTCTGAGGGTTTTTTTGTACTTTTCCAATTCAAAACCAGTTTAAAACCTGTTTTATCCGGTTAAAAACCAGTTCATTCAGGTCGTTTTGGCGCCCATAAAGCGAGCAACCTTCAACGGTTTCGCTACTTTGCACGCCAAAGCCCAAAAAGAAGAGACA